CTATTGAAGATGGAAAAACCCTAGTTAGGGTTTGCAAGTACCAGATAAAAAAGAGTCAGCCTTAGAAGATTGGAAAATTATTAGGTTCAGTCATCAGACCTATCTCTGCGTTCGGACACCAATAGAAAGCGGACAGCTGGATGAATACACGTGTAATTTTTTTAATGTAATCTTTTTTACTTTAATATATATCAGCCCGACCCGACCTAGTCCACTAATTTTTTCATTTTAAACGTTGGCGCTATTTTAAAAAATCATAAAAGATCTAAATGTTTATTACTTTTGAAGAATAAACGAGCTAGAAAATTGTAGAAAAGAGATGTAATGCTCTCGGAAGAGAGAGGGGGAAGGGGTATATGAATCAGAAGGGATGCATGAATCGGAAGCTAACTTAGCTGGAACATCTTCAGGTTTCAACATATCGATAAGTTTAAATCTCATCACAAGATGTATTATTGAAAAATGAACTAAAAAGTTGTAAACAAAGTTGCGCTGTGTAGAAAAAGGGCATATATTTCAGCTCATTAGAAGCTCAGTCTCTTAGAAGTGTGTTTAGGGATTAGGCGAAAAAATAAAAGCTCTTAGATGTTGTTGTTTAGCTTTCATTAGTATTTTTAGGAAGATCATCATTGTTTTTAGGGTTAGTAAAGAAAAAGGTGATGAGCATTTGTTGTGCTTTAGAAGTGCTTTTGTTGGGCTTTATGTGCATTTCATGTGCGTTTTACCTGCACTTCATTTGTACTTTACTTATGCTTTAGTTGCGCTTTAGGTGTGCTTTTTAATCTTTTCTTATCAGTTCTGGTTGTTTATAAAGATAAGAGAGAAGTATATGAATGTTATTATACTTATGCCCATAATAATAGCTTTAGCATCGGAAAGGATCATCACCATTTTTGATCAAATTCTAGGAAGATAAAATTCGAGGACTTTATTTGTTCAAAAGCTAGTTTTAAAAAAAATATTAATCTAAATTCAAGAAAGAAATTTACTAAACTAGATGTTAGAACTGGTTGTTCATCCATAGTGAGTTTATAGTTAATGAAAATGGTTACTAGCATGTAAAAAGATTTATTAAATCCCACAACCATGAATTGGCTAGCCCAGCCAACCAACACCTTTTGAGATTATGTAGGAATGTTGTTGAGGAAAAGCTTCCGTCTTAAAATTAATGACAGATGCAGGGATTAGAATCAATGATGTATATTCCTACCTTGTAGAGGAAGTTGGAGGATATGAGAATGTTGTATTCTTTAAGAGGGATGCCTATAATTTTATTCAGAAGGAGAAAAGAGCAATGATTGAATTTGATGACATTAGTTCTTTGATTCAATTATTTAAAGATCGATAATTTGAAGACAATATGCTCGTATGGGGTGTTCAAATTGATAAATATGATAGATTGTTAAATTTTTTCTAAGTTGATGGTAGAGGCATGATAGATTATGAATGTTTTGGAGATATGTTAATTTTTGATACTAACTACAAGCTCAATAAGTATAATTTTGTATATGCATTATTTATTGGTGTTAATAATTATTGGTAGAACATTTTATTGGGGGTTACTTTTTTGTTAGAAGAAATAATTAAAAGTTTTACATGGTTATTTAAAATATTTGAACGAATAATGGGTAATAAATATCCAACAAAAATATTTACTAATCAGGGCCAAGCTATATCTAGGACCATAGAAGATGCATTACCTAGCACTCGTCATAGATTATGTCAATGACATATCTTATCAAAAGTACATATCTTCAATAGCAACAATAAAGCCAAAGGGCTCTTCTATAAGTGTATAAGAAAGTGTGATTCTAAGGAAGTGTTTGAGGAGGCATGGACTGAAATGATCAAGGAAAGGAACCTTCATAACCATGAATGGTTGTAGGATATTTATAAGATAAAGAGAAAGTGATTAACAATTTTCAACAAGGATTATTTTAGCATGGGCATTTTATCAACACAGCATAGCGAGTGTACTAATAATGTATGTCATGACATTTCAAAGCTAACAAGTTTATTAATTGATTATTTTCTTGGGTTAGAAAATGTATTGATGAATTGGCAGCGAAATGAGCATGATGAGGAGTACAAATACAGTCAGTTTGAAATTATTCCTATGATAAAGAATAACTCAATATTAAGGTAAGCTGCTCGATTTTACTCAAGAAAATTATATTCATTTTTTGAGGAAGAATTTATACAAGCTGTGGGAGAAATGAGTATAGAATTCATTTCAACTAATTCTTCAAAGTTTCTAGTCAACTATATAGAGAATAAGGACCATCATCATTTTTGGGTGGTTTACTTTGATGCAATAGAAGGTAACATTCAATGCAGCTGTATGATGTATGATATAATAGGATTATTATATTCTCAATGTATGATGATTTTGAAATAATTGGATATGGCTAAAATCCCTAAGAAGTACCTAATACTACAATGAGCAGCAAGGGCTCGAAAATATATTTATTCAGATAACTTGGGCAATGCTTAAAGAAATAATAACTTTGAAGATGGTAGGGGATTCATATTCAAAAATCAAGTGAGCAGATTTACATATCAAATGAGCACAGAAGCTCAAGAGAATGAGGAGGCAGAGGAGTATATTCTTGCCTCAATGAAAGATATGGCTAAAAACTTATACTTAATTCTTGGTAATAAGAAAAAAAATTTAGAAGTACAATGCAAGATCTCAAGATGGAAGCGCTAATTTGAAAGATCCTCTAAAGCTTATACATAATGACATATTTAATACAAGATTGGAAAGCCATTGGGAAATGAATAAGAGGGCTAAGAGTAATTTTTAATAACCTGTCAATTATATTATTCCTTACCTAAGACTAACATTGTAATTTTTAACATACAAGAAACCTTTGGTGGGGAAAAAAATAATAGATGATCATTCTTCAACATAAATGAACTTCTCAAGCATGCCTGAATATTTTAATGAGGAATATATAATCGACCAACCAAGAAGCCAACCTGGTGTTGAATACACTAAATTGATGATTGATTTCATTACTTCGGAGTTAAAATTTAATAAATTTTCTTTGTAATAATATTTATTAGGAACTCATGAATATTTATTCTAACAAGTATTGAATTTTAATAAAGACTTTTTATTATAATAATTATTTATTGGGACTTACTACTATTTATTGTAAGAATATTTCAGTGATTATTTATAGCTTCAAATGCGTTTTAGGTGCGCTTTAGTTTAACTTTAATTAGTTGCACTTTGAGTACGTTTAAGTGCACTTTAAGTGTGCTTTAAGTGTATTTTAAGTGCAATTTAATTACGCTTTGGTTGCGCTTGTGTTGCATTTTAGGTGCGCTTTGGTTGTGCTTTAGGTACGCTTTGGGTGCGCTTTATTTGCGCTTTATTTGTTCTTCATAAATTACATTTATAAATCTTCAAAATTTCAAATGTACAAAAGTTACAAAATAAATAAAAACTATATATTAACATTTAAATAATAAAATGTTCAGATTTATAACTCATGTACACAATTTACAATTTTTTTTATAATAATTTTACTTCTTCGTAGTAAGAAAAAGAAAATATGCTAACTCCGGCGTCGAATAGAATTCCGGCGTCACTCGGACGTTCGGCCGAATTCTGACATCGTTCAGGCGGCGGGAAGAACTCCGGCGGTGGTCGAGGGGGAGCTGTTCTCTCCTATCCTTCTCTTCTCTTCTTCTCTTCTTCTTGCTTGGAGGGTCCCTCTTATGAGAAATGAGGGGTTAATTTATAGTTTTTCTGGAGTGGCATAGCTCGTAAATAGATGTTAGATCAGGGGCAAATAGGGAGTGGCTGAATGGACGGCTGATATTGAATCCTTTGATCGTGCACCGTTCGTCAGACATTTGAAGGTCTTAGTGATATCGGAATTCAACGATCTTTGGCTCGTTGAAGTTGTCTCGTCGAGCCGTTCGATTTGACTATAAGCTCATTGAAATCGGAGACCGTTTGGTAACTCAAATTGTGGTATGAGCTTTCCAACAGCACTTCGGGCGTTTGATTTGGGCTCATTTGGGCTCGGATTGAGTTGAATTTGGTGTCGTTGGGTTCGTATTTATGAGATGCTCAATTTGACTATAAGCTCGTTAAAATTGGAGTTTGGGTGCACCCGGATTTAATTTTTGAAGTTTTTCGGTTCGATTTTGCCTCGAGATTCGTGCTCGATCAAGATAATTTTTTGAGAATATATCAAGGCTATTCATCATTGCCATTATTGAGGGAAAGATGACAAGTGCTGAACTTCTCAATAATAAGATCCTTCGGGCAGTTCACAAACGTCGTTATGATTGTTTTGTCGATCAACTAAAAAATATCTAATTTTGCACATCTAAAAATTTTTCCCTTAAAAGATGCTTGAAACTCTTTTCATAGCTTGCCCAATAGATGTTGTAAAGTCCTAAAATTTTGAGGCTTAATATTATTAAAATATGATAGTTATATAACTACATTACTAATAGGCACACTTTAATGCTCCATAACTTCACATGACTAAAATTGAATGAAATAATTGAATTTAATAATCATACTAAATTTACATAAATTTGATTAAAATTTATATGCATCGTGATTATATGGCATGGAATAATTTTGAACAAATTATATATAAAAAGAATGTATTTAATTGAAATAAGTTATAACATAAAGTAGACACATAAACAACAACGTAACTACATGCGTTTTCACCTTTTAAAATTCAACAACTACATGCTTTTTTACTGAAAAAAGAGACTCAAATTGGCATCCTCTCTCTGTTTATGTAATTTTTTTTAATGCTGAGCTTTCATAAATTTTTTGTGCAACTTTCTTCTCAATTCTTTGAAAATATGTTTAGTAAACTCAATGTTTATATTCTTCTCAACAACCGGATCAACTTCCTCTCCTTTTTTCCTTTTTTTTTTTCTTTTTTATTTTTTTAAACTTTTTCTTCCTTTAAACTCTCCCAACTTGGCGACTTCCCCTCCATTCATTGGCCCTCCATACCAAACCAGGAGCAAAAACAACACAAATGGCCACTAAGCACAACTCGAGCATCTCTCCCACTATCCAAACTCCCTTTCTCCTCCTCCTCCTCCTCCTCTTCTCCCCCTTCTTCAACGCCGCTGCTGGACAGGAATCAAACAGCAGCAATGCACCGTCCCCCTCCAATTGCAGCTGCAACACACCCTCTCCTCCCGCCCATCCCCAGCCCTCCGACTTTCCCAACCTCAAACAATACGTTGCCTACAACGTCATCCAACGCTTCAAAAACACCATCACCTGCGACCCCAACAACATAACCTCCACCTGGACCGGCTTCTTCCCTTGCACATACCTCGGTTTCTTCTGCGAAACCCCTCCTAACCTCGTCAACACCCCCACCATCGCCTCCATCGACTTCAACGGCTTCCGCCTCTGCGCCCCTTCTCTCTCCGGTTTCATCGACGCCTTCCCGGACCTCGCTCTCTTCCATGCCAACTCCAACAATTTCTCAGACACAATCCCCGACCTGTCTTCCCTTCCTTTCCTCTACGAACTCGACTTGAGCAACAATGACCATACCGGCCCATTCCCCGCTGCCGTTCTCCCCCTTTTCCGACTCACCTTCATCGACCTCCGCTTCAACCGCTTCATCGGCACCGTCCCCCCCTCCGCTTTCAACCTCGGCCCTAACGTTCTTTTCTTGAACAACAATCTCTTCTCCCAGCCACTCCCTGCCGATCTCGGCCAATCCCCTGTCAAGTATCTTACGCTCGCTAACAACGCCTTCACGGGTCCTATTCCGTTATCAATCCGCAACGCGTCAAATACTCTTCTTGAGGTGCTTTTCCTCAACAACCTCCTCTCCGGCTGTCTTCCTTATGAGGTTGGCTTGCTGAGGGAGGCGACGGTGTTCGACGCCGGGTTCAACTATATCACCGGCCCAATACCGTTTTCGTTTGGCTGTCTGTTCAATGTCGAGCAACTTAATCTTGCTGGTAATTTGTTGTACGGAAATGTGCCAGATGTGGTGTGCCGCCTCGCGGAGTTTGGGAAATTGGCGAATTTGTCGCTGTCGGAGAATTTCTTTACGTCGTTGGGGCATAGTTGCTGGAGGCTGGTTAAGAGTGGGGTGCTCGATGTTCGCCGGAATTGTATTTTTGGGTTACCGGAGCAGAGGGCGCCGGCGGAATGCGTGTTCTTTTTGACTCGGTGCAAGTTTTGCCCTTTGCGCATTCATATACCCTGCAACCTGCCTTACTGGAAGAAGACTGTGACCGTAGCCAATGACGGCGACGCTAAAGCTGTTAAGGCGGCGGAGGCGGAGGCGCCAGGTTACAAGAGCTATTCGGCGCTTCACCAACCAGATGGGAACTGAAACGATCGCTTAATTATAAACGTAATGCGGTTCGAACTCTGAAAACGAACGCCATGACAGAAGCATAGTAAGCACTTGTTGTTCTGTTTAATGTAGTTGCTGGAGCGTGTAGTTTGACTGAATAATGTGTGAGTGTGATGTATTTTATGTTCTTTATTTTTTAATAGGAAATATTATGAAACTACTTTTTTTTACTAAAAAGTTAAAAGTTAATTTTAAAAAATAATAAAAGTTATTCTAAATGAAGTTTTAGGTTTCGTTTGGGACAACTTTTTTAATAAATCTTAAAGTAGTTTCTAAGTTAAAAATAAAATTTTTATACTAAAAAAATATTTTAAAAGACAGCGCAGTAAGAAAACGGTCCCAAACGAACTCTAAGCCTCCATTTAGGACAACTTTCTTACTACGTTTCAAAATTATCTTTTTATTATAAAATTTTTTAATTCAAAGAATTTTGGTACTAGAAAGCTGTTTAAAAAGTAGTAAGAAAACTGTCCCAAACGAAGCTTAAATGATTTAGGGGATGATTTTTTTGCTACTTTTTGAAGCAGCTTTTTAATATAAAATTTAAAATTTTGTACTAAAAAGATACTGCAAAAATAGAAAAAAAGTAATCCCAAACGAAGTCTTAGATATGCGTTTGATTTTACTAATTGGACTTCTAAATAAACAAGTAGTTTTATAACGGATCATGTAACAACTGTCAAAGATCTATAAAAACATATGAATTCATAATCACTAGACATATAAAAAGAATATATGCAGCACACTCGCTGCTTCTAAAAGCCTATGCCTTCGTTCTATCTTTTTTTTTTTTTTGGGAAAATTTGGGGCAAAAAGCCCATCATATATTGATAATGAAGAGGTTACATGTAAAGAGAAATACAAGTAAAAAGCTGCCTACATAAGCAAATACAAAAACTTATGTAAGCCAAAAAGAGAAAAAAAAAAAAACTCAACTATACCCCCTATAAACCACCCTAGAACAACAAAACATGGAATAAGGAAAGTAGCAGCTGGAGAATGAGCAGATACAGAAGCTAGAGGACCAATGAAGAACATAGCCTAGCTGAACATCAGCATATCAAGGTAGATAGAGAATAATTTCATAGTCCAGAAGATAGTTCCCAGCCAGCAATTTGAAGCCAAGCTCCCATGCCCATGATAATCTGGACTCAGATTAATAGAAAACAGTAAGTAGATCGTTCACTTCCCTGGTTGCCCATGAATACCCATGAACCGTCCAAAGGAAAGTGCGGGGAGCTTCATCATTGTCCAGATGGGCATATCTGAAGATTCGCGGTACAGCAGCCAAAACAACAGAAAAAACTCAAGCAGTGAGTTTACAGCCTTTCCAAATAATTTGAGGCATTTCTTCATTTCACAATTTTTACAACCAAGACTCTTTTAATGCAAAAAAGTACCGTAATGTGACATGACGATTTGTTCCCAAAAGTTATGTCATTCCTCTCTTTCCAAATGAAGTAAATCACACATGATAGCACCAACTTATAAAAGTTTAACAGCTCAGAATTCCCATTATATTGTCCATATAACCAGTCAAAAACCTGCAGTATATTAGGCCTAAGCAAGAAGTTGTTCATCCCAGGAAATAAGTTTCCCAAGATAGCAAAAGAGTAAGAACATTCAAAAAAGATATGGGAAACAGATTCCTCAAACATGTTGCATAACCGGCAAACATTTGGGACATAAATATTCCTTAAACGAAGAGCATCAACTGTTTTAAGGCCTCCAACCAAAGCAAGCCAGGCATAAACCGAGAATTTTAAAGCCTTTCTTTTATGCCAAATCATTCTATACCAACCGCAATTTGGATGTTCAGAGTAAAATTCCCCCAAAAAATTTTTAAAATTGTAGTTCTTCTTATCATACCATAGCAAACAGGGTCCCACTTCACCAATATCATTGATGCCCGCAAACAAATCTTTTAGAAATGGAGGAAAAGAATCAGGCAAAGACCAGGCATCATCCGCTATTAGCTTATTTAAAGCAATATCAGGAATATGAACCAGAGAGGAGCTGCCAAAAGTCTTAGCAAGATTACAATTATTGTACCAATGATCCCATTTCACAGATAAAGGAGCAGACTTAGTAATACGGAATTTAAAACAATGCTTAGCAGAGTTTGCTGTAAAGCAAAAAGATTTCCATAAATTTGAAGCAACAGTCCCAGGTGGTCTCCAAGGAGAGGAATATTTGTTAAGCAGCCATGCAGATAAAGGGGATGAGTTATTATATAATCTGAGAATCACAGAACAGTTGAAAGAGAATTGCAAAGCAGGAGTAGAGGAAATATCCAAACCTCCTTTAGAATAAGGCATACAAACTTTGTCCCAAGCAATCATATGAAGCTTCTTGTTGGAATTAACATCCCCGAAGAATAAAAACCGAGAACTAGTTTTTCTAAAATATTTATGAATAGCTTTAGGCATAATGTCACCCTGAATCCAGTATGCTATGGTGTTTTGAATCGTAAATTTCAGGTATTGTAACCTGCCAGCAAATGACAAAAGTTGAGCCTTCCAACCACTAAACTTTCTATTAAGACTATCCAACAGAGGCAAATAATCTTCAATTTTAAGTCTATGAAAAGATAGAGGAATTCCCAAATAAGTGATCTTGCTTGCAATGTTATGAATGGAGAGAGCCTGACATATAACATTACGGTTACTCAGATGCTTAGGAAACATAATAGCACTTTTATCATAGTTGACATGAAGACCAGAGACACTAGCAAAGTCTCTAAGAATGGAAACCAATAAGCTGCAATTTTCTAGAGAAGCTTCACCAAATATTAGGACATCGTTAGCATAAAGCAAATGGGTTAAAGAGAAGTCCTTAAAAGAGATTCCTTTAAACCCCCTTTCCTCTAAACGATTAGAGAAAGCATCCATAGCTAGACAAAAAAGATAAGGCCTCATAGGGCAACCTTGTCTAATACCAGTCGTAGAAGGGAAGTACCCCTCAAGAGCTCCATTAAGAAGAACAGAAAAATTAACATAAAAAATACAAGCCTTAATCCAGCTAATAAACCGACTAGGGAATTGTTTTTGAATAAGCCTGGATAATAAGAAATCCCTAGAGATTGAATCAAAAGCTTTCTTGATATCTAATTTAGCACAAAAAAATTTCTCTTTACCTCTTTTCCCCGCATGATACAGAATATCAGAAGCTAATAAGATGTTATCCGTAGAAACTCTGGATTTAAGAAATCCAGCTTGGTTGTCTTTGACAATATTGTTCATGACCGATTTAAGTCTAACTGCAATAACCTTGGCAATAATTTTATAAACCACATTACACAGTGCTATAGGCCTATAATCAGATATATTGACAGCATTTTTATGTTTGGGGATGATAGCCAGAGCTGTGGCTTTAACATAATTAGTCATATAACACTTAATAAAGAATGATTTAATAGCCTTGCATACAACCGGCCCATTTATGTGCCAAGAAGACTTATAGAAATGAAAGTTGAAACCGTCGGGTCTAGGTGCAGAGTCAGAGCAACCCATAAATACTGCAGCTTTTATTTCCTCATCCAGCACTGGGTCACTAATAGATTGAAGAAAACAGTGAGGGACAACCTCACCACAAGGAATAGCCACAGCCGTAGTTTGAGGAGGACAGGGATTATATAATTCTTGAAAATGCTGGATAATTTTAGAGACAGCTTCAGATCTGCTGGAAGTAGGATTACTAGATAACAAATTGATAATCAAATTTTTACTACTAGTGCGGGATCTGATTTTAGCATACAAAAACTTCAAGTCATCTTCCCCAAATTTTATCCAATTAACCTTGGCTCTTTGAATTATCTAGGATGCTTGAAGGCTAGTAAAATAAGCTAATTCAGAGTTACACTTTTGATAAGCAGAATTAAGAGCCGGATTATTATGATCAGACAGCAAAAGATCCAGCAAAGAACATTGGTTATGATGTAACATATCAATATGTCTGGTAATGCTATTAGAAGTAGCCCAAGTTTCCTTTTTAATACCATATTTTAAAAGCTTAAGCGAACGACATAGATTAGATAAAGGATTACCAGAGTGAGGCCTAGAGAACTCCTCAATAAGCAAGTACCAGAATTGATCAATCTTGGTCCAGAAATTTTTAAAAAGAAAACGATGATGAACCTTAGAGGAGCTACCAGGATGCAAAATAACTGGACAATGATCAGAGCAAGAGGGGCTTTAAAAGGAGCAATACGATTCAGTGAAATTACTGACCCAACCATCATTCACAAGCACTCTTTCCAGCTTGATGTGAATGGGATTGTCAACTCGTTGATTAAACTAGGTGAATTTACAGCCTACAGAGTTAATATCCTCCAGCCCATACTGAAAAATAAAATCATTGAAGTCTTTCAGAGCAGATTGAGTTAAAGTGGATCCACCCAGCTTTTTTGAAGCAAATCTACAGCAATTGAAATCCCCCATGATAGCCCAGGGAAATTGATTATCAGGAGCAATTTGAGAGAGAGAGAGTTCCACAAATCTTTTCGGTCATACAAGCTGTTAGAATCATAGACTACGGATAAATGGAAAAGAGGTTGATTAGAGACAAAAATCAGACCAGAGATTAATTGATCAATAATGACAACCGGATTGAAAAATAATTTAGAAGCATTCCACTTCACCCAGATCCTCCCCGAAGAAGAGAGGTTAAAATTATTGTAGCTAGATTCATTAGAGAAAAGAGAATGAGAAATATCAAAGAACGGATCATCCAGAGATTGCAAATGGATCCTGTTCTCCAAAATGCAAATTAAGTCAAGCTTAAAAGATTGAATAAGTTGCTTACAGCACAGAACCTTATCAGGTCGATTGAAACCCCTAATATTCCACGCAGCCATAGGTGGAAAAGCATCAGGAATTTCGGTTTTGATTGGAGTTTTTTACCCTGCTTACCCCTTGCAGGTTTTTTAGCTGTAGTAGGAATATTACTCTGAATAGCTTTACCAGAAATTTTTTGAACTTTACCTGTTCCCACCACTTCAACAGTCTCCTGCTCAGCGGTATCATGTTCATTCCCAGAATTATCGATGGGATCACCAGCATCCCCCTCAGAATTTAAAATATCAAATTTGTTAGGGGAAACAAAATTTTTCCCCACAGATGTGAATTGCGATTGGATATTAGTAGAGGACGAGGAAGCAGCACCATTGGGT